GTGTAGTACGATCTCCGGCTCCGTGTACGCTCGCTTCCACTGAGCTGTACCCGTCGCCTCGGTCGCGTCGGTAGTCGGGACTTTAGGGGATTCCATGTACGACTTCAGGGTTTCGCCGATCTTCTGGAAGAAGTCGGAGGCAATATCAGTCACTGCATCCAGGGCCGAAGGCTGATACTCCTCAAAGCCAGTGTGGTAGAAGATCTTCGCCACGGAACGCTGCAAGGCCGCTTTGCAAACCCAAGGAGCAATGACAGGACCCCCGTCATTCATCACATGTGGTGACACATCCTGCTCGACGAAGGGTTCCGGCTGGTATTTCTGGAACTGATTCTGGTACATCTTTGGAGAGTTAGACAAGGGAAATTATGATTCGAGAGATCGCTTACCTGAGACTGCAGTTGCATCTGCTTGACGATGCCGATCTTCGAGCAGACCTTTCGCGTTTCCTGCATTTGGCGCATGTTTGCATCCATTTTGCGGGCCAGCTTACTATCTGGTTGAGTGAATGAGCCTTGCGGGAGGATCCTCAAAAACTCTTCGGACGCATCCACAATGTTGCCGTCTGAGTCTTCCTTCCAGAGTAGCTGAGAGGGTAGATCGGGAACCCCTGACATGACATCGTAATAGTCGGGGATCACTCGATCCTCATCCACTTCAATGCCTTCTGCGAGCGTTTCACCCGCGGCGCCAGGTTCCATGCCTTGTCCTGTTGACTCACGCGCCTTGTCGTTCTCTGCAAGATTATGCTTTTGGTTTCTGATCCACCGCCGCATGCCCGCTTTAGTACGGAGCAATGCTGGCTCATCGGAGTTGAGCTTGTCACCTTTGAAGAGACGATGCCTCTCTGCGGCAATGAGGGCGCGATCCTTCTTCGTCACCTGTTTCCATACTTTGTATTCGGGATCTTCGGAATCCACACCAGACGCGGGCAATGCGCTCAGCGCGGTGCTTGTCGGGACTAACCCATCAATGTCCATAGCATCACCTTGGCTTCCAGGTACACCAGAGCTGACGCCCGCAGGGTCAGATGGCGTTTGTGTGCCAGGCGGCGGCGTTACAAGCCCGTTCTGAGCCCCCTCCATCACAACATCAGAATCTGAACGGACCGGCCCCGGAGGCTGAGAGCTCTGACCAGGAGGCTCCGATCCGCTGGGAGTATTTCGAACAGGCGCAGTGCCTTTCTTCGATGATGACTTGCCGGGGGCCTTGCGACCACGGGACGACATGATCGGTTCGTCGTCACTCTCTTCGGCGCCGTCCATTTCGGCCATCTGCAGTCGGCGCTCTTCTGCTTCGACCTCGGCGCGGTCTCGGATGACGATGTCTGGTATCAGAGGGACGAGCTTCTCCGTCTCCTTCTTCATGTATAAAGCATGCTTGCGCAAGAAGTGTTCTGGGTTGGTGTTGTATTTGAAGCAATTCGACCATATTAAATTGATGTCATCGACAAATTCCTGCTTCGACTTGTATTGCAGCGCTTTCAGCTTCTTCGTCATGGTTCCTAGATCCATCGGATGTTTGATAACTAGCGCAGGGAGTCAGCAACGAGACACACGGCGTGGTTCTTCATCCGTTAAAGTATCTTACTTGTATAGTAGTCAGGCGCATCGCGCTTATTCACCCGAGTCAAGAAGGCGCTTGAATGCTCAGTCATCGCCTTGAGCTCACTAAGCACTTTCTCTGCAGCTTCATACAGCTCTTCTTGACCAATCTTGTCCTCACTAGCCCACTTACTACGGTTCTTACGAACCTCACTCATCAGGCTTCGGAGTTCCGCGTCAGATGCTTGGACCAAACTCCGCTTCATGTCAATTCTTGCGATCAGGTTCTTGAGGGTCAGGCTCGAGGCGCCCAGGTTCGCGCTACTCAGCGACCCATATCCATTGGAGGTTGGGTTCGCATTGTTGCCCGCATTCGCCTGGCCCGACATTTCCGCTTCTACCTGTCGCTCCGACTCTTCTAGCCGCTGCTGGTCCAACATGGCATCTCTATCATTCTCTAAAGTATAAAAGAGTGTGTGGAAACTTCTCCTAGCAGCTTCCTCGGTCGCCTTCTTATCTTCCTCTAGCTTCTTGCGGATATCCTCCAAGGTCTCCTTCTTGGCCTCCTTCTGCGCATCGGGCCCGACCGACACGGAGCCGCTGGGCGGTCGGCTGGGCGATGGGAAGCTACTAGGTAGCTGAGAGGCAGCGAGAGACTTGGGCTTAGGAGGAGATGCGGCTTCGGTATCTTCAGCGTCATCTTCATCGTCATACTCATCGTAGTCATCGTCATCTAACTTCCTGGCGGGCTTCTTGGGGGGCGCCGGGGGCGGAGCGGGTTCGTCGGCGCGTTGGCTCTCGGATTGGGACTCGTCGGAATCGTTGGCAGGGCGGGCATCTTCGGCAGCTTTCTGGTTGGCAAAGAGAGCATTTATTTGCGCCTCACTGCGTTTGTACAGATCCCGGAACATGGCGATGCGCGGGTCCTCGTCGCCTGCAATATCGGCATCTGATATCAGACCGCCCGCGTGAGACCCGTCGGCGTCGGCCGAAGCGCGCATCTGGGGGGTTCGCGAACCGGAAAAAGATTTGGGATAGCCATTGACAGACCGCGCTTCATGGAAATCATCCGGCGGGCGCAGATGACCTGGGGGGAGCCAGGCGTGGTGGTGTCCGAGCGACATGCTCGCTCCAAGACCCCGGTTCTGGGGCGGGCGAGGGGGGCTCGTTTCTCCACGGTCCGGATCAGTTCCAGCTAGGGTACAAGGGGGTCTTTTGAGACGCTGAAAAAGACATATACATTAGGGTACAGGGGTCAAGAAATGAGGGACGATGATTTGGAGACCCCAAGTGATGAAATAGTGGGGGATTTGATGGGGGACTGGAGGGCTTCTTTATAAGGTTCTCTGCGCGAACGGATGAGATGAAGTTGGTTGCGTGAAGGCGGAACGGCGACCGCAGCTTCAGACCAACCGCGCAATTCGTTGACTCCAGCAGTAGCAGCAGCAGCAAAGCAAAGCAACTAACAGAGTAACTAGTAGTAGTTGTGAAGGGAAGATATAGTAATAATAATGAGACAGAAGAACACTATGACAAAAAGGAATGAGCCGACAAAAAAGTGAATCCGCATTAATATTAAATAATAAAATAAAATCAAACAAGGCGAGCAATAACCCGTCAATGAATTGAACTTGGGAACGGGGGAACAAGCAACACTCAGCCTCGATGGGGACAAGAAAAGAAGAAGGAATGGCAGGGAGTTTCCCGAGGATGTTTCAACCACAATAAACCCAGTTTCAGCCTGAGGCTGCGGCGTCTCTAGCTGTCTGTCTGTATCGTAAAGTAACTAAACCACATGACATGCCATCATCTTCATCGCTTCATCATCCAGTCTTCCCTCTTCCGGCCTTTTCTTTTCTCCCTCCACGCCCTCCTCTCTCTACGCTCCCTCCCCGTAATCATCTCCTTCCAGATCGCCCATCATGCGAATCCGATACCCTTTCGCGGGTATGTCTTTTCCCCCGATCTTCCCCATCCATTGAGCTCTTCCCACCCGTTTCCACCCTCTTCCGAAGCCAAAAGTGAAGCTCTATGATACCTAATCATCCGATTCCCTCAAAGAGCTTCAGCAGCTTCCCACACCACACCAACTAATACCAAAATACCACCATAATCTGTACCACTAACACCACTCTCACCAGGCGCCTTTCTTTTCCTCCTCATCATCGCCGCCTACATCGGTCTCCTCCCGCACAGCACATCGTCCACTCTTCCGTCCCAACTCCAACCCAATGACAAGTTCCTCCATGTCGTCACCTTCTTTCTCCTCTCCCTCGTCTTCTACTGGATCTTCGACACCACCCGTCGTCGCACCCTCCACCTAACTCTCATCGTCTGCACTCTCGTCCTCGGCATCGGCTCCGAAATCATCCAAGGTCTCCTCCCCAACGGCAGGTCCTTCGATGCCTTTGACCTTCTCGCCAACATTGTCGGCAGTCTCGGCGCCGTCGGCCTTTGCGGCTGGTACCACCGGCGCATGCTCGACCGGCGACGCAAGGCGCGCTTCGGCTCCCTGGGCGGCGACGGCACAGAGAATGATGTCGAGCTCGGAGTGACGGGCCACCACAGCGACGAGGAGGAGGGTCTTGGACCCCAGGAGACAGGTGTTATGAGCCTAGAGCAGGAGGTAGATAACTGGGATGAGAACGCTGTCGATAATTGGGATGAGGAGGACGAGTCTGGAGATTTGGCCGTTGATACCTCCAAGAGAACGTCGCCCGCAGAAGATGGAAAGAAGCGGAGTGATTAAGTCGCATTCTAGCTAGCTAGCTAGATCTCTGGCTCTTGCGCCTTCTCGCTAGCTACCTATATCTCATTATGCTTTGCACGTCTTTTGAACCGTGAAGTCCGCTTCACCCAGCAGAATGACATCGCTGCCCACCATATGATCGCGACGTATACGCTTACATGGCGTTGATGCGCTCACCACCATCCTGTCGCTCTCTACCACGCTTACCATACACTCTCTATCTGCCAATCGCCCCTCCGCGTCACCCCGATATAATCCCAACCCATCCTCCACATGATAGGGAAGACTATCTGTACCCCGCCCGCCTCGACGATTGCTATACTACGCTACGCAGAAAAGAAAGGCAACGAAACGAAAGGAAAAGGAAAAAAGTTACCATACCTATCTATCTATTCACAACTGCTACTACTACTACTGCTGCTCTCGCTACGACCGTGTCATGACCCGACCCGTTATCTACCGGCGTTTTGAGTTGATCGTTTACATTCTGTTTTGTGGTTTTCTTTTCTTTTCTTCTTTTTCTCTCTCTATATCTTCTACGTCTCTCCTCTACGAACCCTAACTATCTAGCTATCTCTATTCTTACTCCTCCTGGTTCTGGTTCTGGCTTTTGCTCTATAAACCCCTCCGTGGGAATTATGATGTACATAGGATAACAGAGATGAGGAGGGGGGTTTGTTTCCCGTTTAATAGTATAAGAACGCTTTGATTTATATTGAGTGGTTGATTGATCAAATGGTAGATAGTATTCTGGTAGGGTGTGTAAGAGAGGACCTTTCAGGGCACGCGTATGAACAGATGCATCGTTATTCATTTCCAGGCAGATCCACAAGTCCAGTATGGTACACCAGTTCTAATGCTAGGGGGGAAAACAGAATGAAAGCTGAAGAGAGATAATCGCGCGGGAGTAAGCACATCAGCTTCGGATGACAATGTTCAGGACGGTTTGCTTGTGAAAATGTAAGCATCCTGGGCACTGAAGGAATAAAAGCATCAGGTCGTATACTGAAACATAGTATGCAGGGTGGCGCAAAGGGCAAATGCATGTTGAAGATGCAGGTCAGAACTCGTAACTAGTCATGGCAAAAAGAAAAAACGACAAACATGGCAAAAGAAAAACATCAATAGGCGATTAGAATGTTATATATGTACGAGGGAAGGTAATATAATAATGTTGTCTGAGACAGGAACCGGTCGTCCCTATCCTCATTCGTTATCGGAAACCTCGGGGGTGCCCGACCAGCTCCGGGTAGGAGTAGATCGGTGATCGTCAGCAGGTTCGAGCTCAGGTTTGGAGGATGGTCGGTAGCTGTCGTCGGTTGACAACTTGGCCATCTTCGTTGACCTCTCATCCGACTTGCGCCCGCTGGGCACGGCAGTCTTTCCGAGCTTGAGATCGGTCTGCTCCCGTAGGACTTCGTATATAAACTGGAGTTGCATCTCATTATAGACCATCATCATTCGCTGCTCGCGCATTTGGTTGACCGTTTCGAAGACAGGGTCGATGTCGGGGTCAGTCGCTTCTAGTAACTGGCCGGACTCGAGCTCCTGCAAAAGATGGTCCAGCGCGATAAAGGTGCCTGTCCGGCCGACACCAGCACTGCAGTGTACAATGCGGGGGTTAGCAGGGGTGCATTTCGAACCGGACAGTTTGATCAACTGAAGGAGCGCATCCCGGTCATCGCCCTCAGGCTTGGAATAGTCCGCCCAGCCGGCGAACAGAAAATGCCAGACAATCTTCGACTCGGTGCCGAGGGTGAGCCGAAGTTTGCGGATTTCCGAGCGAGATGTGGGATCCCATTGAGTCTCGAGCAGTGTAACATAGCCTAGAAAATCCTCATCGGCTTGCTGGTGATGGTTGTCGTTCATGAACGGGTCTTGCTCACGTCGCAGGGGCATCGTGGCGTTTTCGCGGTCCAGTGGGAAGTACTGGGCACATTTCTCTCTGCCCGCCTCAAATGTCTGCGTGAGCATGACGATGACGCCTACATCCTCACTTTCATGGAACACCATGTGCCAAAAGTGAGATAGCTGGTCCGGCTTCGGTCCCTACATAGCAGCGGATTAGCAATTATCCTTCAACCCTCAGCAGAATATATGCGCCCACCTGCGTCGCGATATACCGTCGCTCCTCCTGCGAGACTGAGTCTTCGAGGACAATCGGCGATGCGTTAATAAAATCGCATTCCCCTTCTGGCACCCGCAGATGGATGCGGGAGTTGGCCCATGCCTGCACGTTCACGTATCGGTTCCTCGCCCTGACCTCGGGGTCTCCCTCTAGCGCCCAACGGTGTGAGGGGTCGTTGGCGAGCATCCCCTCGTGTATCCGAGTCCGCTGCATCCATTCGAGTTCCTCGAATTTTTGATGGATTTCTATCACAAGACAGATATATTAGTCAGGCTGTAGGCAATATTTAGAGAGGTGCAACGCCTTCAACTGCGCCCGAAACGACTGGGAGACCCAGAAGCAGCAAGCGGGGTGACGTGCCAGGCGGGCGCATACTGACCTAGGACCGACTGGCAGAGAAATGGAGGAACAGATTCATTATCGCGCGCTTCCAGGCCAGGATCGTCGTTCTCCGGACCATCTATAATCTCGAAGCCATCGTCATTATCCTCGGGAAGCGACCGCTTGGTCGCTTGTACGCTGGTATCGATCTTGATGGTGGGATGAGCCATCTTGGCCGCAGCGATCCTCTGGAAGGCCCGAACCTTGCCCAGGACGCCGCGCGCCTTCTTCGAGACCCGCTTCTTAGTCGCTGCGAGTTTTCGGGGGCCGCTGCGTAGACTGAAGGTATCGGGGGAGGGCGAGCGGGAGGTTGGGGCAGTGATGATTTCCCCCTCGATGCCGTCGGGCGGATCCTCGTGCGCGCCGTTGGGGGGATGCGGCAGGGATGATATCTGTAGCGTGGACAGATCGGGACAGCTGTGGAAGCTGCCCCTCGACGTAATATTATGCTTGGCCAGATTTCTGGATCTCACGGGAACAACGCGCGGCCGAATAGGAAGACTGCCTGGCAGTCGATAATAGTATGGAAGATGACTCGGCCGGCAGACAAGACCCGACAGCCAACTTCTTCGTGCAGCCCACAACCCCTGCAACGCGTAGGACAAATAAGAAGATTGGGTGATTATTACAGAGAAAGAAAAAGAAAAAAAATATGGACGAACAGGGAGAACCACCGGGTCAGTGAATATGAAGTAATAACCTCGTCAACAAAATGCGACCCGAGGGAAACAGCAGGCGAGAGGGTCCGGCCAGCAGCAGGAAAAGAAGGAGAGTATTTGATGCAAGACCCCCTCGCGACACCGTTTGGCAATTGCTGTTCTCCCCGCACTCTCTCGTCTTTTGGGGTCTTTTAACCCCAGGACGTGGCCAGCAGTCCAATCAGTCAAGTCATTAAATAGATTAGAACAATGAGGTTGTTAAGGAGAGTGGGTTTGGACTAATAGAATAAGTATGGGGTATACAAGGAAGAGAAAAGAAGCGGAACTGGGCAGCCAAGAAAAAAATATTAGAATAGGAGATGTTTCTCTGGCAGGTTGGCAGCAGAGTTTGTATGTATCGAACAAGAAGAGATCCTTCTCATTCCTGGTAATTTTCTTTTTCTTCTGATTTATTCGGGGTCCAGACGGTATGGATCCCTTCAGGAGATTATTAGTATTTTTATTATTATTTTTATTACTACTACTACTGCGCATTACGACGGCTTCCATGCTTTAGTTAAGGGTTGGGGGATGGCAAAAGAATGATGTAATTCAGGAGAGCGTCTCTCAGGAACAGATAGTACAAGAGTACTTGCATTCACCATTCAGAGCCATGCTTCGTCCGAGGCATGATTCAGATCTCCAGCGGTGCCTTGAGATCTTCATCCAACCGGCCATCGTCAGCCATGATGGTCGGCCTCAGGCGGTCGATCTATCCACTTTCCATCCCTTTAATCCGCCCGGATCATCGCTTTCTCCGAGACACTTTGCCGCGGGCGGAGTATCGAGTCCTTGGCCTCTGATTGGTGGAGCTCCCAGTTGTGTCACCAGCCTCAGGCTTAACTCAGTTGGTGGCTGGACCTCACTGTCGCCTTTCTTTCTCTCTTCAAGGGTGCAACCACGCGTTTTTTCTTCTCCCTTTCGCTTCTCACCAGCCCCCCACGGTGCGCTGGCTTCATCCCTTTTGCACTCAAGCTTTAGTCTAGCTTGTGTTGCCACGGATCCCACCTGATCTACGTAGTCCACACTGAAGATGTTTCGGGCGTTTCTCAAAAGCGCATTTCTGCTACGGCCTCTCGAGGTGTGTATGAGGCACTTGTGTCTGGACTATCGCACACAACCCTCCATACTAACAGTCTTCTTCATACAGGAATGGCTTACCTCTAGGGTAGGTTGATAACCATATCTAGTCCTTGAGCTTGATGCTCATGTTGCCACGTATAGCTGCTGGCCAGCCGGTCGTTTCATAAATTGGTTGGGGGAATTCACCGCAAGGTTCATCACCTGAAGACGGGTGTCCCACTGGAAGAGGTGCATGGCCCTCACTCTGGAAAGTCTGGTATGAACTTCGCCCATACCGTGAACGGGTCATGGTAGCTGTGTAGTATCATTTGATACTAACCTGCCACTCACTCTAGCTTCGAAGTTGAGCCAATTCTTTGAGTACTTCAAAGAAGAACTGAAGGACCAGATGAAAGGCAACCCCCGCAAAAAGCATTGATGAGAAGGTGGAGTTTCTTTCATCCGGGCTTTTATGGCAGCCCTCCTTTCTATGACTTGTGATACCCATCAATATTCATATACTCCGTTATTTTCTGTTTCTCTGTTGTTCGTGCTTGTCCATCCTGATCTGTCTAATATACCGTCTGGTATACCGGATACAGATTGGGCTGTAGCTCTTCTGCACCATGAGCTACATCCCTCATTCCATCCGGAGAACGATTACCATTGCTTCATCCGCTTTGCCTAACCGTGTATCTTTGGACTGTTGGGTTGGGCCTTGAAATGTCGAAGCGTACATATATAGTCTTAGATAGAGTCGAACGTAACCGAATATTCAACAATTAGTTAGCAAATCCATCGCTTATATCATCCAAACCTTCTACATAGGCAGAAAAGATCTTATCCCTTGGTCATAGCCGGCCATGGCTGGGCACGACTAAAACCTTATCCCCCATGTGATGTGTACAATATCGGGAAATCCGGATGGCAGGACCTGTATGTTTCAAGGGCCGATTCCCAGGGACTCCCCAGCACGAGTGTGTGTGTCCTCGCTGCCAGTGCTACTTTATTCTTTGCGTAACCTGCATATGCAGGCGAGGTGTTACTTGTGCGACCACAGAATACAGAGGTTATGAAATACGTACATACTACAGACGCAAACACCTACGTAACCTAACCTCGTCGAAATATCCCCATCTGAGTCACTGCACATTTCCATAACTGATTACATACCAGGTAGACAGACAACTAATGCAAGCGAAGCAAAAGGAATGATAACGAACGCCTTTGACTAACCCCGATCACTAAGCAAGCAGGAGAAAAGCAAGCAAGATCACTCACTCATCCTTGCCACGCGATCAACTGGCGGACGGAGTGGCTGCAGAGACCCGAATCGACCCGTAATAATCTCTACCTCCTACTGGGAGGGAGGGTATGATGGGGAACGGTCTAGGCACACGCACTATTGAGGAGATATACGTAACCTCGATGAGTACACACACACACACGCACACTGGAACCCTTCCAGACCAAGACCACTCTAAGAAGTCGTCAACCCCACGGTATGTTAATTAACAGAAATATGGAGTCTAATTAGGACAACAACGTTCCAGAGCGCCGTGTCATGTCTAGTGAGGAGTAGTAGACTAGTATGGATGGCCAGCTGGGTACTGTGTAATTAGCAGAGAGGAATCTAGAACCGTCAGATGCTGCCGATCACCCGACTCGAACTCGAAAGTGGCTAGCTAGCTAGCTAACCCTCTCTCTCACCGTGAGAGAGAAGATGATTATTAACTAGTCTTATGGAGAGCAGTAATCAGGTTTTATTATGAAAGTGTCGGGTGGCACCCAGACTAAGGTTTATGAAGGATGAATCATTTACGAACAAGACCAGTTTGACCCTTAAGATGCAGGGTCTTTGGGGCTTAGTGATAACGCTACGGGGAAGGAGACTACTTTGTACTACTAAGCCCCGTTGGTATTGCCATAAGGAAAGACAGCTCAGCAAAAACGCTGTGGGAACGGAGTCACCGGCCCAATTGCCGCCCTGGCGTCCATTAAGCGGGCAGCTGCTGCAGTCGGGTGAGCCGGCACACGTCGATGGCCATGTTTGGAAAGATGGAAAGATTTGTTTCTTTCGGATTGAAACACGTGAGAGAGAATGTACGTATGTGCGTATTCCCAGGAAAACACCGAGGATGTGGGTGCTCGGAAACTACAGAATTTTCTTTTCTTCTTCCTTATTTTACTATCGAACCGGAGCCACGCGGATACAATGAAAGGGACCACCCAACATCAAGAAGCATAAAGATTGATAGAATGTACACATATCCAGTCATCATAAGTAAGACTGTGGATTATTATTGTTGATTCGGTGTTGTTGTTTGTTGGTTGGTGCCGAATCTTAGGTAATTTCTCCCAAGGAACAAAGTTGTTTTCTATGGTACGGTCATTAACCGGTACCTAAAGACCCATGGTACATGCCTCAAAATAGCAACGTGTGTACCAGAATTACTCTAATGGATTATGGAACGCATTAATTTTGTAAGATCGCTTTGTGATCTACCATACTATGGACTTGCTTGCTCCTCACTCTAGCCGACCAAGCCGGAGCACTACTGCTCAGGTACCTCACTAGGAGGTTAGAGTGGGATCGGGACGACCCAGAAAGCACCGTATTGGGCATAGTAGTCCGAGACAAGGGCCGTGACAGCCAACGGGCAGAAAAAGAAGAATACCCATAGTATCCATAATACTTCAGTACCAAATACTGGGCGGAAAGTCAGGCGCCCCAAAAATGCAAGAACAAAACACTAAAAAAACACAAAAAACACAAAACGAGGGGCGCCCCTGTGCAGAACTGTCTCAACTGGCAGCCGCTGACTGGCTGGCATGTTCTTTAGCGCCGACGCTAGAGAGCGCCGACTCCTGGGCACGACGCTGGGATTGGTGTTGCGCAGCCAAAAGTCCCGTTGGGTGGCTCCCCCCAATTGAGCCGGCCAGTGCCCTTCCACCATCCCGTTCCCTTCGTCTCCCATCTCCAGTCCCTTTTCATCTCCATCCCGCCTCCTTACGCTCTTTCCTGTCCTTCTTACCACACACACCACCACCCACAACTCTATATCTGCAGTCACTCGTTAACCCCTCCTTGTGAATCATATCGTCCGACAGCCTCTTTTTGTCCTCCTGCTGTCCCCCCGATTCTCAACCCTCCAAACGATCGTTTCTCACCATCTGGGCACCCCCGTGTCGCGTTGGAATTGTAATCTCGCCTCCCCGGTGTCGGTTCTCTCCACTGCCCTCCTGCCTCATCCGTGTTGGCTCTGGAAGCCTCGAAAGAACGCCTTGAATACCCCGAGTTCCGACTGATCGATCTCATCCGACGTGCCCATCATGCGAGCCGCTCGTCTTTCGTTCCTCCTCTACTCCCTGTCCCTCGTGGCTGTCGTCGCTGGCCAGAGCGCTGCAGTCACGAGTGTAGGCAACGCCGTCACCTCTGCCGCTGCCGCCGCTACCACAGAGGCCCCTTCTACCACATCTAGTGAATCATCCTCGACGTCTGAGTCCTCTACCTCGACTTCGGAGAGCTCTTCGACCACCAGTGAACCTACAACTACGTCGTCTACTTCGGAAGAGACCACTTCCACGACCAACAAGCAACCCCAACAAACCACCCAGCCGCAACAGACAACATCATCCAACAACAACAACAACAACAACAACAACAATGCGCAGACAACTGCAGTCACTACAACGGACAAGAACGGCAAGACCACCGTCGAAAGCACTACCCAGCAGACCACCGCAACCCCGGTTGTGCAAACGGTCACGACTATCGAGACCATCAGTGGAACCCCCGTCCAAACCACTCTCACCACTACTTCGACTCCCGCCAGTGCTGACTCCACGGGCAGTCCTGGTCTGAGCGGCACTTCGTCTGATAACTCTAACAGCAGCTCTGGTCTCTCGTCCTCTCAGAAGAAGATCATCATCGGTGTCGTGGTCGGTGTGGGTGGTGCAATCATCGTCGGTGCCCTTGCCGTTGTTGGCTGGAGGATCCACGCTCGCAAGGCTGCGCAAGACAACGACGAGGCTGCTGATCTTATGAGCGGCACGGCAGTCGGTGCGGGTGCTCGCGAGAAGGCACCCAGCCCCGGTGCTGGTGGCACGCCCTTCAAGACCACGCTTGACCAGTATCACAACCCTGGACCTGTCAACGCTGCATCAAACTTCTAAGCCAACCCGGCATCCTGTCTATGATACGAACACAACACCCTTTTCCTATGTTTATCCTGCGGTAACGAATAGGGAAGGCATATGGTCTGGTCTGATACCGTTCTTGAGACTGTAAATTTGTACGATTATTACGCAGTTATTGTTGGCGCTTGTGGAGAGGAAATCCTCTGATTTGTTGTTTTCTCACTGCTATCTTGGGTTGTTTGCTTTGCATTTAAGAAGCTACCGCTCTTTTCTCGCTCTGATAGACCACACGTCGGGTCTTTACCGATATCACGCTCCTTTTACTTAGCACAGCGATCTTGTCCTAGCATTTATGGTTGGTCGATTTAGTTTGATTCCCCCCTCGAGCATTTGATTTCTATTCTGGCGGAGCGGTGAGCGGCAAAGTGTCCCGTCTCTGTCTCTGCTGTGGATTGCAGATCCCCGATCTCAGCCTTCAAAAGCTTTCGATTGTATGTATTTAATCAAAAAAAAAATGACTTGAGAAGGATTTCTGCAGTAATTGTACTGTCAATGATGTCATGGCAGTTTTGCTAGATTAGATATGCTGCATATGTGTAGTTACCTATTTACTATACAGGTCATACATCGTAGCGTCTGATGATTCAAGCCTTCTCACCATGTTTAATACAGACGACCTCGGTAGGAAATAGCACAATCACTGACATGTCTTGGTCCACACAATATGCCGGTAGTGAACAGTGCGCCAGGAACATGCGATCCTGCAATGTGAGTTTATCGTCAACTTGCATTATCTAAAGCCGATCCAGGTCTTTCTCTCTCTCACCCACACACAACACCATTGAGCAACACCTCTACCTCTATATCGTAACCACTCAGAATAAGGAGTATGAGCGATCAGACACCCCAACACCTAGTTCTCGATCTACGACGTCAGTAGTGGCACAACAGCAAGATCAGATATAAAACCTTCGGAATAAATCTATCATGATAATGTACGATGCAAAAGACCGCATAATCATATTGTCCGTTTACATATGATGCGTCGCACAGCGGAGGGGTCAAAGGTACCGTGGTGCCTGACAGCCTGAGGAATGTTATATATCCCAAAGCAGACTAGTGAGCACGTGGCGTCGTGTCGGACGCGCTCGCGAATCCCTGCCGCCTTTCACGTTGTTCCGCCGCGGCCATTGCTGATCTCTCCGGACAACCATCTCTACTATCATCAACTGGATAGATACGATTGAGTGGCAATTGTGATTACTGAACAACTAATCTGTTTCTGTCTTTGTTGCATGAGTGACGAGGAAACCATTCCTATATTTACAACGATATCTTCACTACCTCCACGCGTTACGACTTGACATACCCTCTATCCACCCATCCGGTTGAATCGCATTACTTCAATCAATCAACTACAGACATTCACAATGATGTTTGCTCCCCTCCCCATGCAGCAGCAACCAGGATCATCACCTCCACCACCTCAACAGCAGCACCAACAATACACACCTACCCGACCATCTCCCCTCTCACCACGCCGTCTCACAAACACCCCCTCAGCAACACCCAACATCTTCGCCGCCACCTCCAACAACAGCACCCAATTCAACATCCCCTCCAGCCCCTTCACACTTCCAACACCCACGAAACTCCCCTCCATATCGGCATCAGCACCACCATCCCCGACGCCACCACAGCAACAACAACAATCACACCACCAATTCGCAAGAAGACAAAGAAACATCCAATCTTCCCCCAACTATGCCCACCGCTACGCCAACAACATCTCCAACCCCATGACCAAGCACTTAAAATCAAGTGCGTCCCCCTCGGCACGCCGGAATGTGTTTTTAAATCGCGTGAAGCGGGATCGGGATGATGGGCGTTTTGGGGATCGCGGCGAGCAGTTGGTGCTTATGGAACATGTGGCGGAGGAGAAGAGGTGGGGCGAGGTGATGAGGCGGAGGGCGGAGGAAATGATGGGTGTTGTTGAGGAGGAAGAGAAAGAGGGGTATGCCAATGGATATGGTATGTCTAACTTTTTTACCTGCCTTGAGATGGCTTATGATGAGAGTGCTAACGAATACGTACTTAGACGATGTAGACGCATATGCTCTAGACGAGTACTTGCAAGAACAAGCGGCCGAGATGGAACGGTTGGAGTATTTGAACCAGCAGCCACAGCCACAACAGCAGCAGCCTCACCACGGAGTGTTTGATTCAGGTGCTCCTGCTGGTAGAGGTAATGGTGGGATGAACATCTCATTTAGTGACGAAGAAGAATACGACGATCTGTTCATGGATCTAGCGGGGAATGATGGTGATCCTGATATCCCTGGGTCAAGTGGGGGATTTGCGCATAGTCAGGATATGGATATGTCGTGATTGTTGCCTTCATCTGTATGTCTGTGTATTGGATATGGATATGAGAGTGTCTTGTCGCGGGTCGATGGGACTGTTGTCACTACTAACATCACGTTTGTTGTTACGGGCAGGGCAAAAGCATGGTCTGGTCTGGTCTGGTATGATATGGTCTGGCGTTGAATGAATGAGGTGCATGATATAGGGTACTACTACCTACCCACCCACCCGGTTATCTAGACAGTAGTTAATTAGCAAATCATCCAGTATAGTCAATTCTCAGATAGTAATCTAGTCTGTCCATATATTTCATACCATGTTTTTGCTTAGCACATAGATGTGCCACTGCTCACTAGAAGTGTTGGTAAGCTACTATATGCATAATGCTCTGACAAACTATCCTCATTTCCCATCTCTCATTTCAAGACGGCCTACGTATTCGCCCTTTGAAAGACTCCAAAGCCTAATGGGTCAGGACATGGTCATGTATCGTAAGAGCTTCAACCCAGGTTCCCGCTCCATGGTAGTACTTTCAAATTCCGTGGTCTCCCAACCCTAGGGCTAAGACTATGCAAACCCAATAGAGCAGAACCAACCATGTTACTGGTAACTACTTACAACCAGTTACCAACAGATGCACCAGATTCCATGACGCATCCGTTATCTGCTCCTCACCCCAACACACATAACTTACACAGCAAAGTCACTACTAAGACATCTCGGATTACTATACTGTCTATCCGGATCACAATAATCATCAACCAAAGGGAGAGAATCATGACCGTGGCCATTATGCATGATCCGAAGAGTCTCAGCAATTTGCCCATCCAGCTCCCGTTTTCTGAAAATCCTGGGATTTCTTTTTGATAGGCGTAGGATATAAACGGGTACCAATGTCTTGGATTCATGAGCAGTCTGATAGTCATAATCGGTATGATTAAGGCCCACCACAAAGTAGGTGTGCTTTCCAGGGTAGATGTTGACTGCAAGGAAACAAGTCTTGATATTTGCATTGAATTCATGGACGCAATTCTGGATTTCTGTAACAAAGGGGCGTATAGATCCTAGATAATCTTTAGGATCGAGTATGCTATTTGGAGTATCACCGAGTATTCGCATCGGGCCGCCTGTGTCTTTAGACTCTCGGAGGAACTCGAAGAGAACTCCGTGGATTTGGTGGAGAATGCGGTCGCGACTATTATCTGGTGTTGAGGCATCCATGATGGAGTGGATGTGGTGATGATAATGAACTATCTGCGTTGTGAAAGGGGTGTGATATGATGATGGGATTATATGGTGAATTTTTGTTGGCACACTCCGATACTTCCTTCTTATATGAAGGTGAAGATGATGAACAAGTTCTTAGATTCAATCAAGGGATGTGTCCATTGATTTAGGAGGGAAGGGAAGAAGGAGAAATAATCTTCCGTGCTTCTCCTTTTGTAAAGTAGGAAGAGTTGAAGCAACCTACCAACCGACTAACAACCCTTTGCAAGAGTACTTAGGGGTGAAGGGTTTGTATGTAGGTAATGATTGGCTCGAAAGGTATCCGATCACTCGGAGGATCATAGTAACTATCTGATACTTGATACCTCACGGCGAGCCCGGCTTGTCCTGACTAGGGTGAAGGGAATCTTCTCTAATTCAAGTGAACCGAATTTATTATAGATTTGGTTGAGGGAGCTTGGACGATAGGTGATGATCATTCATGTCCTCAAGTAGTACTGGGCCGGGGGAGGTTGGGGTTGTGGGGGATAAGGGACATCAGAGACGGAACGGAACGAGTACTAAACATATTATGGGGCGGGAACCCATGTCCTGATCCATTAGGCTTGGGAGTTAACCAAAGGGCGAATAGGCCGTCTTGGAATTAGGGTTGGGAAACTTCTATGAGGATAGTCTGTAAGAGATACTCTACTATCATGTAGTAGTCGTGGTGGTGGTGGTAGTAGTAGTAGTAGTAGTAGTAGTAGTAGTAGTAGTAATTACCCTCATATTTAGCGCGGCTATTGGCACTCTGCCGAGTCAGTAACAGCCAGATAGGTTACTTATAAAAGATTCTCTTCTAGTATGTCTTATACAAAATCTCTATCAAAATTATAATTCTATTTTCTATATTATACGGCGTCTTAGCCCTAGGGTTCTGGAGACTACGGGATTTGAGAGTACTATTATAGGTGACGAGACTGTTTTCCAAGAGGTTCTGTACGATAGTAGACATTGAGTCTGGGTCAACATGAATACTATCCTTCAGCCCAAGCGTGTGTGTATATATTAGAATTCTATAACTACTACTGGTACTCATCATTGCTGCGGACAATCAGGCATACCACCCGCGCCAGCACCACCACCCGGACCCTTAAGATCCTCCATCCAAGGAGCAGAAATCAGCTCATCAGGCGGGTTACCCGCAGCTTGCATCTAGAACCCGAGTTAGTACTGAACAGCACGACAAATGATCGCAATGGGATGGGCTTACCTCCTGCATCTTCTCCCACACGTACTCCCTACACTTCGGATCCTCATCCGAATACCCCTTCTCCTCAAACTTACTCACAATCTGCCTGACCACTCCAGCCTGCCTCTCATACCTTGCCATATCCTCGTCCGACACCTTGCCCTTGCCCTTATTCTCCTTGATCCACGGCCCAAACTTCGTGTCAAGCTCCTTAATTGGCTCGTACAAGATCTCCTTATTCGACAATTGCTCCATCATGCCCATGAACATCTTCGTCAGATCCCCCTCGTCACCACCTTCACCTGACGATGCCCCCGCCTCGATCGCCTTGATGAGTTGCGCTACCAGATCATCCGACATGTCGTCCTCCGAGGCTGCCGCTGTGGCTTTGTCGCCGGATTCTTTCATCCGTTCGATTGTGCGCTGGATAGTGTCATTGAAGGTTTCAGGTGCTGCGGTGCCACTTGTTGATGGCGTTGATGATGCTGCTGGTGCTGGTGCTGCTGAAGAGCCCGCGGTGGCGGCCGTAGTGCTGTTATCGTCGTCGCCTTTCATCATGACGTCTCCGACGAGCTGTTTCAGAAAGTCGGACGGCGAGACTCCGCTTTCCTCGAGGATCTTGGCGAATGCCTCGGCGTCTTTGTCGAGGCCGCCATCGTTGGTATCGGTGGCGCCAGCCGCAGCCGCAGCCGCAGCAGCGTCATTGCTGGCGCCGCCACCACCGCCCATCATATTCGCCATATCTTGTTCGAGTTGGCGGAGGAAGGCCTCCTCGTCGAAGTCATCGGGGGCAGATGGTTGTGCGGCATCGGGTTTGGCGGGGGCGGGGGATGGTTTGGGTTTGAAGTCGTCGAGGACCTCTGTTATATTACATTGTTTGTTAGATAACAATATACATCGGAATTGAAGAAAGAGAGTGTATAGAAGTACCATCTAATTCATCAAATTCTGATTCGTCGTCATCGTCATCGTCATCGTTGTTGTTCGTGCGCTGTTGTTGCGCGGGGTTCTCTGCTGAGGGGGCATTGTTTGGGGCAGTCGTCGTGGCGGACTTCTTCTGGTCATCCGCAGAAACCTTTTCGGGGATCTGTGTGGGAGCAGCAGGACTGTCAGGTTGGGGGGTTGCGCCAATGTTGGCGGAGAGAGCCGATGAGGGAGCCATGACTGATGATCGCAATAGCCGAGGGGGAGGAGATTGGGGGGAGAAGAGGGGAAAATGATGCGGCGGGTTCAAGTTGCAGTTGCTGGATTGCGGCGGGCGGAGACGGATTGCATCGGCGCGCAGGTGAGCCTCTTGTGTTGTTCCTTTTCAGAGATGCAGGAGACAGAAAGTCTGACAGGCGGGATTAGATTAGATGGGGTGGTTGACGATGGGGAGCTGAGGATGTAGTGTTTTTTTTGGTCTTCATGTGAAAAAAGAAATGAAGGGAATGAATAATCAGTCAGTCCATCTTTTCGGTGGTGGGGGAAGAGCCGATGGAAAGCCGATCGCCGCGGTTATTATTTTTTTGGTTTCTCGGAGTTGCGCTCAGGGGATGGTGAATGGGGGATGGAAGGGTAGCAATCATTCTTTGGAGTAATTGTATTGACATTTGGAATTGAATTGAATGAATGTGGTCTTGTATAGGGGTAGAGTGAAAGAAAGAGTATAGAGTCGAGTAGAAGGGAGTGATTGAGTATAGTTAGGAAAGACCTGGGAATGACATCAGGGTCCAGGCGCTGTCACCGGCAGATCTGATGGAGATTTAACTAGTTAACATGTTGAAACAACTGACTCGGTCTGGATTCAGATTTACTCCGACGGGAATACGTTCTACTTCACGGAGTACAGAAGTGCTACGCTCTCTCCATTCTGATATTCATCTTCCAAGCACAGCAACAGCAGCAGTAGCAGCAGCAGCGACAACAAATCCAAGTCTGCCAAGAAGGATCTGGTCAATAGTTGCTGCTGCTCATCGGTAGTCGCCGCAAGTCCACCCAGCAATAGCAACAGCAACAGCAACAGGTACGGGCACTGGAATTCCTTCCGATCAGCCCATCATCCTCAGATGATCCCGTGGCGGATCCTCGTGATGTCAAGTCACAGTCACTTTGCCTTTTCTGCCTGAAGGCGGAGTTTCGGAGCGACGTACGATGACGGGACATAGGCGAGGCCCTGGAGGTGGTTGGCTGGCGGAGACCTCCTTCCATCGGCAGTCTCCTACTAGGGTACTTACTACTACTGTGTATATCCCACAAGTAGTAGTATTAAACCGAGTAAGTCATAGTGTCTTCTGTCTAGTCTGGCTGTCCTGCAGGTACATCCTGGATTAGTTGGTTGGTTTGCGTTGAGGGGGAAATGGAAACCGGAAGTTCGGCTGTCGGATCAGGTGCTCTCATTGTATACACAAAGCATCCAGAAGGAAGTCTCTTCTAGTCTGACGGTTCTATTAACAGACATGCCAAGGACTGTCATCCAAATGGTTATCCTCGGGATTCCGAACAGACCAGACAGATCAGACTATCTTGTGTTGTATCCCAGACCCTGAGAGATTTCTGGGAGGATAAGAAAGGTAATTTAGTCGAGATGGATTCGTGGTACCGTATGGTCATTATGCCGTATTATGCCCCCAAATGGCCACTGGTCACGGGGTCAGGGACGAAACTTTGCCGTATTCACCTTGTCCCGTTTGGGTCTAGTCTGGCTGGATCTGCGTGATTTTCCTCGCTGTTTCTTCCTCCTTCAAGGGTCCCGGGCATTTCGTACGACCTCTCTCGTGGAGTTAGACCAGAATTCTCTTGACTGTCGGATTACTTCCTGCCACGGTACTTAGACCGAGGTTCAATTAAATCAATCAATCATAAGCCCACCGCCTTCAATAGAAAGAGGAGTCAAAAAAGGATAGAAGGGGAACCTGGTGTGTCCACGCAAGACCCCCGAGTTCGTACGACAGCAGGACAAGGAATCCGCCCCAGCTGAACCACGGAAAACTTTGTCTTGACCTGCCGGAACATCTCCGCGGCATGATGAAGATATTAACAACGTGCCCACCAGAAAGGGGCAGGGAAGTCTGCTCATGACTTGTCGATAGGAGAAAAGACTGGCATCTACTTTATCGCCTGCAATAGATACTACACAGTTCTGGTCCAGATTGAGCTAGCTGGAACCGACGCAACAATGGCATTGCTTTCAAGGTTGCTCGCATCCACACCCCCAGTAGCCACTTCCGAGAGAAGCGGAAAGGAATAAGAAAGGACAACGACACGTTCTCCTGCTCTCCACTCCGTTTCGGAGCCTGCATCGCCTGGTGGACGGACCACCACCAGCACCACCAGAGGAGTAAGCTCCTTCAAATAGGGCATAAGTAGTAACTTGGACCACGGAGGCAGTGACGAGTTTGACGACTCACCCTGGGCGGATCTTCGGCTGGGTCTGACCTTGCAGTGGATCTCGCTCAAGTTGGTGTCGCGGCCGAGGAAAACCGCTCCTAGCAAGGAGGGAAGAATTGCATCGAGGACCTGAGTGGACAGAAAAGCAAAGAAAGTGCCAGTGTATGTGAGAAAAGCTGAGAGGAGAGGGGAGGGAGGCGGGGGGGTTGTAACTGGGCAATGAGGGGAGAGTGGCTCTTGTGATGTTGGATGGGCAGAAACTAAAGCAGGGGCAGGGAAGAATGCGTAGAACTACTACTAGAACTACTAGAAGAAACAGAAACCGGATGGGCGCGAGAGAACATCAGTTGTTTAAAAGCAGAAAAAGGTAAAGAGCAGACGAGGCGTCAAAAAAGTAGTGTAAAAGTCAAAAAGAGTTTTGACCAGCGGCGGCGAAACCGAAGCTCGTTCCGTTCGGTCCATTTTCCCCTCTCACACTCATTGCACCGTCTCGCGTGAGTGGACGGAGGGAGTGGATGGGGATGATGGGCTGGATTTTTCCCCTGGGAAAGTCTCTGCCTTGACCTAAAAGGAAAGTTCGAAGAGAAGCCAAAAGAAAAATAAAATAAAATTCTTTTTTATTATTTTTTCCCGTTCCTTCTGCTGTCCCCATTAAATATTATTTTTGCCCACTCTTTGCTCGAATTTTCCAACCCACCAGGCTTGGACCAAGAGAAGAAGGCCCTTATTCGACCTTTTTTTTCCTTTTAATAACATCCCCGTTCTTTTTAGTAAATAATTTTACCTCACATCTTTCCCACTCTCACCTTCCCACCCTTCCCCTCTCACTGTTCTTCGCGCTTCTCTCCTACTTTCCCTCCGAACCTGCTGGCTATCTGGGTATTCCATCATCAATTTCCTTTATGTCACCTCTTCCGCTGGCCTCCTTGCGACCCTTTGCCAGCCCTCGCACGTCCCTTTCTGCCGCCCAGCCGCGCGTTTCCTGCGTCTGAATTATCAGATTCCATAACCCCGCCGGCTAACTTTTTTACCTGCTGTGTATTCTATTACCATTTTGTCTTTCGTGATCGTTCACCGCGTCTATTTTGTGTGAGGGGGAAATTAAGTCCGCTGTCTTGTTAGCCCGGTCTTTGGGAGAAAGACAGACAAGAGAGAAGAGAGGAAGAAGAAGAAGAGACTTTTGATATTCGATCCCGGCCGTCGTCATCTGCCTTTTTTTCTTTTTCTTCTGTTGTTCCCTTTTCTTTCCTTGCTAATTTTATAATATCCCACGCCCCCGGATTTCGTTCTTGTTGGGTGCGTCATTCTCCATCCACCAAGCACGCAAGGGGGGAATTTCCCATAATCGACCTGTCTTTTGGGCAATCCGGACAGGCAACAAGAACGGCCAGCAAACACAGAAAAGAACGAGGCTAAATTCCCATCCCCCCTTCCTCATACATAGCCAAATCCAATGGTCTCCATGGTTGAGACAAGCAATTCCACACAAAATGACAACCCGGCCACTGAGCCGGTTGTCCCCAAGACCGAGCCGTTGCCTGAAGGCTCGATCAGTTCGGCGGTGTCAACACCTGAGGCCGAGGGGGAGATTCTGATGCAAGATGTGACCCAGACTCAGAAGCGCAAAGGGGGAAGAAAACCAGTACGTAAGAATTCTTCGAGGGTGGCTGTCCTCAACTCTGTTTTTTATTGTTTTACCCCGGATCCAGATCGACCGACCCTTTTGGCTTTTTATACCTCGTGGTGGTCGTTGCTTGTTTTTCTCTTATCTCATTTCTATTACCTTTATCTATCTATCATCACATCCATCACGTCTTTTGGTGTTCATCCAGCATCATCACTGGCTGTGCTGTTGGTGCCTATCGCTGCTCCTCCCCCAGTGATTTGTCCCTGCGTGCCAGTCCGGGGCCCCGCACTGCGTTTATTATTATCATTTATCATTGCGATTGTTCATCCCTTATCGTCCTGTCATATCCCTCCATTCTTGCTGTCCCCTTGACTACTTATCTCATCTGCACCTTATTACTCCCTTCCCCTCTTCAGCCTTTATCGATCTTGTTATCTATCTGGACCCTTGATCCCATCCCTTACCCGGCATGAAGCTAACAGCCGCCGTCAGATCTATGCTACCTCGGAGGAGCGGAAGCAACGCAACCGCCAGGCCCAGGCCGCCTTCCGTGAGCGTCGCACAGAGTACATCCGCCAGCTCGAGTCCACCATTAAGCGCAATGAAGACTCCCTGCAGACCCTCCAGCAGAATCATCGTAGCGCCGCTGATGAATGCTTGATGCTGCGCTACAAGAACTCCTTGCTCGAACGTATCTTGCTCGAAAAAGGTTGGTCTCCCCCGTTCGCATACCCAACTGCAAGCCTGCAAGCCCCTTTTCTGATAAGCGCCCTCGGGGCGATCCTTGTCCCATACGTGAGATACTGACCGACCGTAGGAATCGATGTGCAAGCTGAGCTGCGACTCAAGGCCGGGGCCCCTGGCGCGGGCGCCGCTAAGCCCACCCCAATGGCAGCGAAGCCTCCCTCCACCCTCGAGCGTGCTGCCGTAAACCGAACCTCGGCTCAACGGCATCCTGGCATCGCTCCCAAGGAGCCCTTCGGCATGGCTCAACATCGTGATGGTGCGTATGGTATTCCGTCGCCACAGTTCCAGGCCACGCCTCCGTCCCATGTCTCCTCTCCGTCCCACGCCAAATCCCCCGGTTTCCCCTTCCAGGGAGCCATGTCGCCGGTTGGGGTGGATCCCCAGGCCCAGCAGCGCTCGCAGATGCTGTCGCACTCGCGAAATATCAGCCAAACCTCGCCGCCGATGAGCATCGGCCAGCCGGAGTCGACCGACCCAAAGGCCGCCATGCCGGGTGGTACGAATCCCCGAGCTCCCCGCGTCCCCTCCGCGTACTACCCATCGCCATTCCAGAAGCACTATGACCAACTGGGTAAGCTAACTCCATTGTCGCATTGTTGTTTTCTTCCAGGTCCGTGGTGGTATTGAACCCTTGGTTAATGTCCGCACAGAACAGGAGTACGATGCCCAGGCCGATATGATTGACGAGGAACATGATTCCACCGTGGGTGCCTCACCCTATGTCTCCGGCTACAACAATGCCGCATCTGTGCCGGCGGGCTCTCACCCCATGGGGGCTCATAATCTCAACCAATACACCCAACATGCGGGAGAGGGAGCCAATGGCGCATACAATAATGCGAACCACCTCATGGGGAACTATGAACCTATGCTGGATGCCGATCCATTTGGATTGAGTGCTAGCATGCATTTCCAGACTCCTTTCAGTTACGAGCAGAATAATACCCGCCATTAACCCGTTTGTTTCTTGTTTTGTAATCTCACATCCGGCACTGACTTCCCTCTTTCGGTTCGAGGGATACCACGGTCGGAAGAGAGAGACATGCTTGACGGATTTCCTTCATAGCTTTCTTCTATGACTGGAAGACAAAAGTTGAAACTTTGAAGCATTGCCTGGCGTTTGCGGTTGATACCATTTGTTTATATTGGTTCGCTTGCTGTTCTGCTGTTGCTGTGGCGCTTTTGATTGATTGACGCCTTTGAAACTGGAAAAAAAGCGGTTGGCTGTTTGTTCCTTTGAGCGCGGAATGAGCGGAGGAAAGAAGGGTAAAAAGGGAAAGTAAAAAGAAAGGCCGCGATAAAAGTTGGGACATGGTTTTTTGTGTACATGCATGACTGGTATAATGGGCCCGAGGGCGACTGCGGTGCAGTTCGAATTGGGTCGCACTTTTTACTCTCAGCTCTTGCGGACATAGCTATATGATGTGTTTCTTTTCTTGCTATGGTGATGGTGATTATTTGGGCTGCAGTGAAACGGTGGCTTGCATGTGTATTTCTTGCTGGTCTGGGTTATGTTGCATCCCTGCGGCATTGCATTCTATTCTATTCATCTTCATGAATCATTTTATTACTTCTCTGCTTCTACTTAGATTCCTCTGTTCCTTTTGCTGCTACTTTTTTTTTTTTTTTTTTTTTTTCTAGAGGTACTACTATGTGGATGAATTCCCTCTTGGGAGAGCTCTGAGAGCTAGGGGAAGGTATCTACTCGAATAGGGAAGTAACTGGAATGGCAGGTGACCAGCTAGTACGGAGCTCGGCAATTGGGGGAAAGCTACAACGGCCGAGGGAAAGAGAAAGGAAGAAAGAGGATGGAGAATGGAGTAGTGACGTATGACAAAGGAGGGGAATGGAATTGGGATGGCAGTGATCTACAGATCACCCCCAGAATGCTGTAGGGGAAGAGGAGCAGAAAAAAGCAACATCCAACCATGCTACATACTGTCGAGCGTAAGCCGAACTGAAGGCAGCGATGCAGAGCATCATCTCAGCGTCATCCGCTGGTGTTTTACCCTAAGCCCTAGCTGCTGTAGACCAATCACAGGTCGCATTCCCGGATTCGCTTAGCAGCAATTCGCACCTTACCGGATCGGGCGAGTGCAACCACAAACGTCGCCTCCATCCACCGTCCAGTCAACCCCCTTCACTCCAACCACTATCCTATCCCATCCCCCCTAAACAAAGGAGAGGTCAGATACCGTTCGTCGTCGAGGTTCCTGCCTGTGTCGACTCTCCCCGCCCGCTCCGTCGGACCGAATTGTTGCGATAAGAGAGAAGCCTTCCCCGGAAGGCCCCGCATAAAACCAGGCGTCATGGCGGAGATCCGGTCCAAGGTGCGTTGCTTTTGAAAAGAGAATGGCTCTCGTTTTCTCTCCGTCTGTTGCTGTGCGAGGGTGATGGAAATCCGCGATTTGGGGGAAGGAATGATTTACGGGCTGGATTGATGGAAGAATGCTGGGATTGGGTTGGGAGCGCAGTTGCATTGCAACGAGCGGGGTTTGGGGGACGGCAGGAATATTGCACAAATCTATCCTGCTCCTCACCAACTCGCACCATCACCACCACGACCACAGCAGATGAGATGGGAGAGAAAGCGACAGCTTCAAACATCCAAGGAATGCGATGGCTAACATATCATCTACTATAACAGAACCTCTACGAGCTTCTTGGTAATTCTCGCCCTTCCCTTGTCTACCTACCTACCTACCATACCTGAGTCCCATCCTGCACTTTGCACTACCTATCGTGTTTTGACTTGCCTTGGTCTCTCTTTTCGCTTGTCGTCGATCCATCTACACTTCGAATTCGTGAAGGGATTACATCATTTTCTAACCTCGAGCGTGCTTTTGCTCGCGCTGCGCAACTACAGGCAATGACCCTGAACTCGACCCCAACAGAGCTCCCGAGCCCCCTACGAAAGCCGTAGACAGGCCCGCTCCCCGTGTTGGCAAGCGGGACGCTCCCAAGGAGGCCCCTGCCCAGCCCCGTGAGAACAACAACTCTCGCCGTGGTGGCCGTGCCACTGGCAACGAGGCCGGTATGTATTTCCATCTACATCGGGTTCCAGTTCCTGGCAAGTCCATTCCGACTGATTCCGATCGCGTTCAGCTTTCCGTGACCGCAACGCCGGCAGAAACAACAACCGCGAGAAGCCCACCGATGAGAAGGACGCCCAACGGCGCGGATTCCGCGCCCGTGAGGACCGTGGTGAGCGTGTCCGCCACGACCGCCAGTCCCGCACCGGCCAGACGTAAGCCATTCCCTTTACGTTTCGTCCTTATGAAGATGGGCAAAAAAAGAAGTTTTGGGACTCGATCAAAACTGACGAACTGGATAGCGACACCCGCAAGCAGGTGAACCAGGGCTGGGGTAACCAGAGCGGCGAGAAGACCTGGGACGACGAGAAGGCCGGCGAGAACATTGCTCAGACCGATGAGACCGAGCCCCAGACCCCCGGCGAGGAGAAGCCCGAGGAGGCTGCCGACAAGTCCAAGTCCTACGCCGAGTACCTTGCCGAGAAGGCCGCCCAGGGTGACCTGAGCGCTAAGCCCGTCCGTGCTCCCAACGAGGGCACCAAGCTCGACAAGAAGTGGGCCGCCGCCAAGGAGCTCAAGCGTTCCGAGGAGGAGGATGCCTACATCAAGGGCAAGGAGGACAAGGCCAAGCGCGAGAAGCAGCGCAAGGAGAAGAACATCCTCGAGGTCGACATGCGCTTCGTTGAGGCTCCCCGCACTGGTGGCCCTGGTCCCCGTGGCCGTGGTGGCCGTGGTGGTCCCCGTGGTGGCCGTGGCGGCCGTGGCAACGGTCCCCGCTCCGAGCGCCCCGCTGCCGCTGCTGCTGCTGCTCCCACTGTCGCCGTCGACGAGAAGAACTTCCCCAGCCTTGGCGGCAAATAAATGCAGTTTTTTCCCTCGTAAACTTGCATTTATAGGCTAGCATCCATGCATGCATGCCCATGCTCCCCCCACACCTTTTTTCTTTTCTTTCTACGCATGATCCTCACTACCATAAACCCTCCCTCCCCAACACCCCTTTTTTTCTCGCTAGCAACTTAGGTAGTCGAAATCCAGGGATCCAAATGAGATGAGAACGAAAATGAAAGTTTTGTGTGTGTGCATGAGAGAAGTGAGAGAAAAGAGTGCGTCTTGTGTGTGCTTGCATGTGTGTATGAACTTGAATCTCAAATGTGAAAACAAAAAACGACCTAGGGGAAACAGACAAAATAAGGGAAAGGGTGAAACATAAAACGAACAGAAGGGAAAGAGAAAAAGACACCAAAAAAATCCAAAGGTTCATCTGTGCAATATGCCTCTTTTATCTATCTATGGCTTTATGGGCCCCTTTTCCACATATTTCAGTTTTATCGTACAGTTGTTTCTATGGAATGATGGAATAATTATTTCTTCCTTCTCCCTGCTGCCCCTCCTTGACCGTTTCTCTGTATCTCTCCCGCCATGTCCATTATCAAATAATTCTGTAAAGGAAAAGGTGGATGGAATACCACACCCTGTAATTTTGTTGCTCTGAATCTCCATGTCCACTAAATGACTTAAAACCTCAATACTGCTCTGCTGGTACTGCCATCCCCCCCACCACTCCCCTGGGTAACTTAACTAGCCGATTTGAAGATACTACAAATGATAACGAGATTAATAAGTACTCAGCTAACACCATGTATGAGTGAGTAGTATTCTACATTAGGCAATTAGTACAGATAACACTGAATTGATATCCCCATTGATCACACTATACTATACTATACTATACTCCTACAGGTCGATCTGATAATACTATCTATCTATCTATCTATAACTAAGCAATAGACAGATTACTAGTAAATTGTTGGAAGTAGGTAGATAGTAGATCCCCTACTTAGTTATTATTGAGCTTCCTCTGCTCTGCTTAGATTTATAAGATTCAATCACTATTCTATAGTAGTATTTAGTAAGAATTGTGACGTCTAGATTGCTATGTTCTGCTTTATCACACCACATATAACCATATGGTCATGTAATTTGGGTATCATGTATCTAATTACTACTTACTGCGTATTCATATTTACCCAGCCCATATATACTATTATCTATCGCAATTCGGGGTCATTAGACAGATAGATATATGAATGAATGAACTGTTCCATTATCTCCGACTTCTTAGTACTTATCCTCTTCCACCGACCACATACCCCTCACTCACTCAACGACCAGCCTCCCAAAAAGCCCGACTCCCCATGTGCTGCTCATTTATTATCGGTACTGTCGACGGCTATATAATGTTTCTAGGTGCAGGCCTCTAGAGTAATCCATAGGAGGGGGGCGGGTGTGATTCTTGAGTGTTGGGATAATTACTACCTGTCAATCTAGACTGTCCTTACTCATAACAAAACAAAATTATATCAGTTCGCTTCAATTCGATTCTTATCAAACATCAACGTCAACATCAGCATAAATCAAAAGGGGACACCTGTACAAAAATGGTATCAAGTCGGTTCCTTGCTCCCCTAAATTCAACCAGTCCATTTCCCGTGTGGTACAAGCAAATCAAATCAAATCGCCAAGCGCAAACCAGGAAGACAAAAAGGAGAATAAAGCAAAGCAAAATAAATAAGGATACCAAAAAAGAAGAAAAGGAGGCCCAAGTCTTACAAAAAAATAAAAACGCCAACCTTTTTTGCCTTGGATCCCAATACCTTATGCACAGTCTCAGAAATGAAGAAGAAAGAATGAAAGAATAAGCGGGGATTTGGAAAGAAGAAGAAAAAGAACAGAATAATCCCAATGTATAATCGTGGAGGTTCGTGGGGAGCGCCATGCGCTCTCCAAATCCGATAGAAGGTATAAGAACGGTAAGGTTTGAAGAAAAAGGGTAAAGATGAAAGAATAGCCCTGCGGCGTATTGTAGTTAGAATGAAAGGAAAAAGAAGGTAAAGCAAATCAGCTACTTCCCCGGGCGTTCTGCATCATGTTTTGTTGCTGTTGCTGTTGCTGATGTTGCTGCTGCATCACCTGAGCTTGAACATGAGCAACCTGGTTGGCACGTTGCTGAATCAGCTCGCGCTCTCGTCGAACAATGTCATGAACCCAAGCTTTGGCATTCTGTTCCAGTCCCGTGGTGTACTGTCGTTGTATATGTGGTGGGAACTGAGACGGTGAACCGTACTGTGGCATCAATCGAGCCGCCATTTCTTGCCTAAGCCGTACCAATCGCTGAGTGAACAATTGCTGGTAGCGCTGTGGAGTGATGACGTTCTGTGCCAAATTTACTCCTTGCATATTTTGTGGCAGATGACCTCCATTGGCCTGAGCCGCCGCCATTAGCATTTGCTGCTGTTGAGGGTTCATATGTGGGCTGTTTTGGTGTACCTGTCCCTGTTGATTCTGTGATTGCTGGCCTTGCTGCTGTTGCGGTTGCTGCTGTTGCTGTTGCTGTTGCTGTTGCTGCTGCTGAGCCATGTGCATCTGCGCGAGCTGCGCACGCATCAACTGAGCCTGATAGGCTTGTGGATTCGGGAACTTGGGCTGTGCCTGGAAATTCTGCTGCTGGGCTTGTAGCATCTGCTGCTGATGGGCTTGAATGTTCTGCTGCGCATGTGCGTTGGCCTGCATCTGAGCTACTTGCTTGGGCGAGAACTGATTCTGTACCATATGCCCTTGCTGGGCGAGAAGTTGTTGCCTCTGCTGCAATAGCATCTGCTGTTGCTGTTGAGGTGTAAGGCCCATTCCGCCTCCCATTTGTGGTGTTCCCATCATGGTAGCCTGGTTCATCACCGGTGTTGGGGCCATCGTCGTGTGACTCGGGCTGGCGTGGCTCATACGCTGTGTTGGTGTTACATTGCGCATGATAGGTGTAGCATGAGACATTGCTGGCGTTCCTTGAGTCATCTGTGGTGTCCCGTGTCGGCTCTGTCCCTGTTGGCTTCTGGAAGGTGCCATCGGATGGCTCATAACTGTAGGATGGGCGTGCTGCAATGCAGATGGCGGCCTAGGGGGGCTGCCTGCTCCCTGCATAGAAGGCGTCATGCTCATAGGAACACTTGCTTGTGCGGCCATTGTGTTGCCAACAACAGGCGAAGAGGTGTTGTGAGGTGTCTGGTTACGGACCACCGGCGAAGACTGCGGCGCTTGGCTAACCCCGTTAGTTTGCGCCATGACATGCCGATTCTGCTGCTGTTGCTGCTGTTGCTGCTGTTGCTGCTGCTGCTGCTGCTGCTGCTGCTGCTGCTGCGCCGCAAGTTGCGCCTGAGCCTGCGCGGCAAAGTGCTGTCTACGAGCCTCTTCCTTAGCATGCTCTTCATTCTGTCGCTGCTCCAGAAGGCGACGTTTCTCCCTCTCCTGCTCTTGCTGTTGTCGTTTAGCCAACTCCTGTTTCATCTTGACTTCATGTTCGCGCTTGGCCTTCTCCTCATGCTGCATACGGATATTCTCAAGCGTCTTGAACCTTGAGAAGCGAGGCTCAAATGGTGCACCACCACCCGTATCATCCACAACCGCGGATTTCGGCCCTCCAGCACCACCGGAGGAGGTAGGCTCCAGTCGTTCATCCATGATGAGCATGAATCTCTCTTCCTCGGCAGCCAGCGCCTCGTCAGCAGCGAGCTCAGCCACGGTACGCTTCCTCCTCTTTGGTGAGGGTGGCGGATCGCGGTGGAGTGGGCTCTCCATGATTTTCAGCAGATCTTGCACAGCGTCGAAACTGTTGACAGGATCCAAGAAGAGAGGTGGAGCCAGTGCTCTTGTCAATCTCGCTTCACATTCCAGAAACTCCTGAGGTTCAACCAACATTCTCTGTCGTTTTGCAGGATGTCCACGCTCGGTCTGATTGGATGTCCCTCCTGGAGATGGTGGAGCTGTAGACGAGGACTGCTGAGGACGCGAAGCAGCATTTGATGCCGACTGTTTCGCCGCTTTGGGATCGGGTGTAGTGGCAAGCAAAGTGAGTTCCGCTTGCAAGGAACGTGGAGTCGGGTGGAGAACGGTAGTGAAAACTCGGGGTTTTGGAGGCTGCTTGGGTTGAGCGGAGTTCGATGTAGCTTCCTCTGCACGATTCTCCGAGTCGCCGGACTGCTCGCCGTTGGTTTTCGCATCGGGTTGATTTCCGGTTGGGGTTTCCTTGACGGTCGGCTTATCGGAGTTTAATTGGGATTGCTTTGGGTAGGGCACATAAGCCGATGGTGTAACATGCTCGTTATAGTTATGAATCGAGAACGGGGTGTTATTCTCGTTGGAAGTCGGCGCAGTCGACTTCCTGGCCTGGGCTGACACCGACTTGTGATCGACCACGCGAACGATGAGGCAGCCTGTGAATTACAGAGGTTAGCCAAGTCCACCAGATAGAGGTGAAGTTGAGGCATGTGGAAGCGTGCCTTCATAGAATCGGACATTAGCCCGCAACAGCTCCTCCATCATATCATGGGGAACGGTTCCGGCACGAATATGTTCGATGATGACCTTCATCTCGGAATTATAAGGGAAGCTTCCATCTTGTTGCTCGAAGCGGAAATGTGTTGGGTGAAGGTGGAGGATAAGCGAGGGCGGGCATTTGGAGAACTTCTTGAGGATGTAAGACGACGTTTTGACTATGACGCACCCGATGGTCAGTACGCAGGGGCTCCGCATGTGGATCGGGTTGAGAGCTTACCATATGGCTCGGGACACCTGTTCCCTGCGCGACGATCATTGTCAATGGATAAGGACCTTAACAATGGTTTTTGTAACCGCGCAGCCTGGTCACCGGGCTTTTGCGCTTCCTTCTTAGGTCGATTCTGAGTAGCCTTGTTCGAGCCGGCAGCCGCATTAGCCGCGCCATTGACGCCATTTGACGTCGGGCCGCCGGCGGAGCTTGCTGAAGCCGGTTGGTTCGAACCGGGCAGACGTTTCGCGGAGGAGGGAGGAGAAGAAGAGGAGGATTGTTGAGACTTGACTCCGTTCACTCCGGTCTGGACGAAAGGCGGGGGCGGTCGCTTCATCTTAGGGGTATGCGAGGTCGGCTTCGAAATTGCGGTCGCCATAGTCTCGGAGATGAACCGCGGCGCGATTATGGTCGCAAGCTGATAAATGCGACCTTGGGGGAACCGGATCCAGGAAGGATGAGGACAGGGCCGTGAGTCGTGGTTGATGATACAGCCGGAGCGCGAGACATGTGGGGAGCGGAGATCGGGGGCGGCACGACAACGAACTGGCCCGATTCAATGCGAACACTTGCACAAAGCGCGGGTCGCTACAGACAAAGGGTATGAAAGTCCATCGAACAGACACCTGCAAGGAAGGCAGGGGAGGCTCGGAGCGAGTGGGAAGAGTCGTCGACGGTCGGTTGTGGCTCTGCAAAGGGAGTTTGTATGATGCCAAGCCGCGGGCGACGTGAAGGAGGTCGGGGTCACCTGACTACCGCTTTGGGTTTAGTGTCGCGCGCCTGCGATATGGAGTATTCCAGATATTATATCTTCTATTCATCTGTATGACAGGCTACTGAAGAAGATTTGTATTCCTTCCACTCTGAAAAATTAGAAATCATTCTAGTAATGGCTAACATCTAATTTGTCATTCTCGATACATAACCTGAAGACCAACTACTACGGTGTTATTCAATATCTAGGCAATTTGATTGAAACTAAGTACAAAAAGGCAATCTGTAGAGAGTATAGTCATCATAATACCGTAGTAGTGGCCCTTGGGGCTCTGTGGAAAGCATCTTGCGGTTAGCGACTCAGGGGTGCCCTTGGGCTTTGGGGGTCTTAGCAGGCTGATGATGGACGAAACAAACACACCAACGTGGCTTTGTACTTGTCACTCATATGAAACGTGAAATCTCGCGAAAGCCCACATTATCTATGACTATATCTCGCTCGGCTCCAGTAGGTTGCCGATCAAACATAGCCCTGAATGGGATCACAAGAGGCTGTCCGATTATCGACGTTGGCGTAATGACTACCTCCTGAATAGAAAATGCGAGCTGCATATTTGCGGGCTGCTGGACTAGAGGTGGCATTTGGTCGGGTTGCTGGCGTAATTGGTCGATAAGTTGTCTAGTAGTACCCGGTCTACCTATGTTGGGAGGGGCAAGTTGCCATTTCTCAAGGCGTACTTCTCTGCTCCTGGATTTGATCGAGACAATAAGTACAATTCTAGTGTCTCCAGAAGAATTCTGAAACCACCAGGTTGCGTCGCGCCGGAGCTTTGCCATAGATTCTGAGACACCAGTTTCGAAAACAAGTGTCGGCCATCCACTTAGCTGGCCAAAAGAAGGCGGGCGGCTCGAAGGGTAAAAGCTATGGTCAGGTTGCTTGCCGTGTGTCGAAACAGTACCGGGGTTTGTGGTTGTAGCCCCCCAGGAAACTTCTGTTCGTGGTATCCCCATTTGAGCTCTCTGGTCTTCGATGTAACGCATTATTTCTGTCGTAGTGAAATCATGTGAAGCAGATGGTACGACCTTGAAGAGCCCTGTATTTGCTTCCCACATGAACCGAACTCCAATATCGGGCAGTATGTCATCAGCTTCGCTCAGCCTGTCAATGGTCGTTTGGGGCATGCCCATGAGGACCAGCCATTGGTTTCCATCCCCTCCATTCTGCTCCAGTTCGGTGTAAATGGCCTTCAGCGCAGTCTGTAACCGTTTCGAAGTTGAGCATGACTGATATGAGCGTAGTTGATAGGAGGGTGGCAAATCAGCAAGAATATTGTATGGTGCGCTAATTCCGTTGATAACCGGATCATCTGATATGCTTTGACGGGAAAGACCTGGAAGTGGCTCCGAAAAGATGTCAGATTTCAAGGAAGCCATGATTGAGAATGATTATCAGGATGGGTGGACTGGATATGGAGTGAATAGATATGGGACAATTGGGAGAGGAGTGTGTGTAGTTTATGAAATAAGCCCGTGAAGATTATGTAGGAGAGATAGGAGGGAATGAAGGTGTGTAGAAAGAGTTTGAAAGATTGTAAAGAAAGTGAATATAATAAGGAACCTGAGGCAGAGATATGGGAAGTGAATGAATAGCGAAAAAAATAAGAAATGAAAAGGCAGAAAAGATTTTGGAAGCATAATTATAACATATAAAGCATGCAAACTAGAAAAGTGTAGAGGAGTGCAGGTAGTAATAAGTACAAATTTATAACATGGGGATTTTCATTTCACATACCATCTTCCATTGCTGAATTATTGGGTATACACAGCTTATTCGGTTGGAACTGAATGTGTGGTGTTGGCTGCGGAAATTAGGTGGTGGATGAGTCGTTTAAGTACTACGCACCATGGCTATCAACACATGAGTATCATACATACATCATGTGCCACTTGAGTGTTGACCACATATGACGAAACTTTATACAGAATTTATACTACAGAGATTATACTCTTGAGGATGTTAACTCGTAAACTCACTGCTATGTGCAAAGGCTCATTTCATTCAACATATCGTTTCCGTAGAAGCTAAGTAGACCATGCTTCGCGGTCATCATGCAATCAATATTCACACAGGGGTAAACAACATGAAGAGCAAATCCTCTTCATCTCATCGAGACAGGGGAATCAATAACAAGAAAAGAGAAGGTTCATCAAAATAACATAAGGCACACCTATACGCAAGGTAACCGAGACGTTTAGCCAACGCTGAGACATCGAAATATCCAATACTCGGCTTTAGTCTAGTCGTGCCCAGACACCCTCCGCCTCCAATCATCACCAATGCGGTGGACATCGACCACATTGATCCGCTTGCCAATGCCGGTGACACCCTCCTTCTGCCACCATTTCTCGCCCTTGTCTGCAAGAGCAGACTCATCATCGCTGTCAACAAGACCACCGTGACCGATTTCGCCTCCGACGACGATGACCGTATCCCGAACCCAGCCAGAGATGAGCTTTACATGCTCTCCTGCTTCCCCGGTAAGGGACTCCTGAACATACACTACCTCCGGAGAAAGGTGGCGAAGAAGATGCACAAACCCTGTCGCGGTGCTGAAGGGCATGATGGTGTTCTCCTTCTCCACAAGTGCCTGCGCCTGGGTGTACATCGTCTTGAACAATGGTGTAGACCCCTCGTCTTCATCAACCTGGCGAGATTCCGAGGGCGACTCTCCCTCGAGAAGCTCACCAGACGCAACAGCTTCTTCGGGGGCGATGTTGGAATAGGAAGAGGCAACAGACAAGTCCGGCTGAGAGGAGCTTCCCTGCTTCGGGGCGTGCTTGAGACCGGGGGCATAGATCATGATGAAGACCCTGGCCGTATCCAGGTTGACGTGTTCGGGGAGATGAGAAAGGATAGACTGCGCAGAAAGCAAAAGACCATTAGCATAACCCGCTTTAGCACCTACACCAAACGATCAAGACTTACCACATGCTGCGAAACGATATCATCCGGATCCACCTGCGCAGACTCCGACGAGACCACAATCGCAACAGTCCTCTTCTTCGTAGCAGACACTGGGCCGCCAACACCAACATCACGAACCGGTAACGCCCCCGTCATAGTTGGCGCAGGCTGTTCCGCGCGCTGAGCTCTCGAAGCGACCTCCTCCGACCAGCGAGAATGATCCTCGAAGTCACCCCTATCTTCCTCACGAATCGAGGTCAGCGCACCACCCACGAAAGCTCCCGCGGCAGCGACTCCCGCAGCAACCTTCTTGCTAGCGCCATCGAAGATCTGCTGGGGACTAGGAGTGCGGCGCAGCGCACCCTGCATGCGCGCCATCATGCTAGCATCATCCCCTGGTATATCCGTAGCGGTTGAACGGGCGTAATCGTCCGCATATTCGCCATGAGGGTATCCCTCGGGGGCGGGGAAGCGGTCATCGTGCGGAGGGGGGATAGTAGTAGTATCGCGGTCGTTATTGTTATTATTATCGTCATCGTCCTCGCTGCGTTCGCTCCAGATCCAGGCTGCAATGCTAACAGTTGCGATGCCCACGGTAACAGCAAGAGGCACCCAGTATCCCAGGACGGTCCGATTACCAGTGGAGCTGAAGCCGGCGCCGGCTCCGACCCGCCGGCGGCGAGCATCCTGGGAGTAAGGAAAGGACATCGCGATCACACTGAACTTGGGGCTTAATAGTGGCGCATAGACTGGGATGGGTCGCGGTGAGCTGCAAGTCACATCGCAAGTCTCTGTCTAAGGGAGGGGAGAGCGGAGGGGGCTGGGGGGGCGTGTGGTAGTAATGATGGGGATAAGAAAGGAGGAGCTAAAGTCCTAGTAACTAAGTAGTAGTAGCTGCTACTTTGCCGCGCGGGCTGGGCTGGCCTCGGACGAACCGAGAAACATGTGGCTGGTGATATGATAATAGTTTCCCGCTGTTTATTGGTACCGCGGGTTGCTTTTTCTGCCAGGAGCAACCAATGGTTTCCCTTACGGTATGGTACGGAACTGCCCGGGGTAGACTACAATCTCTCTTCCTCGGCCCCATTTTTATGCTGCTTACTCCCTGTAGTTATGCACTTCCCGCATAAGCCGATTCAGCTTGCCGTCGGCACGTGGTTCTGGGGTAGTTGGAGATCACATGACTATTATTAGATGTTATAAGACAAGCTCTTAAAGTGCAATTGTCTTGCTAGGAATCAGAAAACCCCGTAAATGCGATAAAACGATCACGTCAATAAGACCGAAGCTAATGACTCCCTCCTTGCCATTCACTCCGTATCCCCCAGGAAGCAACGATCCGATATCCGGAATAACCCCAGCAGATAATTAGAAAGGAAAAAGTATGGACGAAAAAGAACTATGTGTACATATGCGAATGAAGACATGAAAAGAAAGTTCGATGAAGCATGAAAAAAGACTTAAAGTGAATGCAAATGAACCCAAAGAGAAGCATAGATATCATGAAATCGTGAGTCGAAGGACAAGGCCGCATTTCTCTCTTGCTGCACAAACCATCATTCCTTTCAGATCATCATATTCGATTCCAAAGGTATTTCAGTTTGTTCTTCGGGCAGCAAAAAGTTGAATCCATCAAATAAATTGTGTTCAAAACCGAACCCAAAGCCATATTCGTTCGGGTTGCTTTCTAATTCTGGAGTCTTTGTGAGTTGCCGCGCGGCCAGCTGCTCTACAGTATACTGATCCAAAGTAGCTGTGAATAGATCCGTATTAGAGCCGTCCTCCGTTCCAATATTAAAAGCTAGCGAGTCTGCAACTTCCGCATTCTTGCCATCTGGGGAGCCAACTTGGAGCCCATGTTCGGGATTCTCTGCGGGCGAGAGTGATCGAGGTCTGATTGCAGCAACATCATACGAGGGTTCGATAGAGGGATACATTTTGAGGCCATTTTCAAGCACGAGCAGGGAGGGCTCGACGGTTGTGCAAGTGGTAGGTGGAACATCACTAGTGTTGCGCACAGGTGATCTTAGATTGTTATCGTTCTTCGAAGCCACCACGGGGCTGCCAGCGGAGGAAGATGCAGACTCGGAACGAGCGTTAACTGCGTCCTTGAAAGACGATTCCGAGGCATCTTCCATAGACCAAGTTTCATCATCATCGCAAGATGCAGAAGTACCATTGGCGAGTGAAGTGGGCTTGTAGGGCTTCTCCGAATCTCTCCTTCGATTGATTTCTCTCGCAGATATCCTTTCAGGAGTTGAAGGTGTCGGGGAACCAAGGTCTGGTGATACATTCCTCACCATTGGCCCGGGTAGTCTGAGTTGGCGCTTCAGGTCGGCAATATGGTCGTCTTGCCTTGACCAGCTACCCTCCCCCTGCCACACAGTTAGTGATGGAACCATCTGAGTATATGAGTTTGGGGATACCGAAATAGGCTCGATAACGAAAGGATCATCTAGGGCCACAGAGGGGTCCATTCTCACAAAGGGCAGAGACACCTGGGAGGTCTGGACATTCTGCATAGCCGTAGTGGTATTGTTCTGGGTACCTACCTGCTGTATGATATCCTCATGGCAGGGACTCTGGCTCACGCGGGAAGAGAGGCTCTGATCTGAAGAAGCAGTCCGGGCTGTATCGAAAGAGGACTGTGTCGAACCAACTCTAGACTCTGGTTTCCTCATAGGTGTCTGTACTAGATTGGACGAAGTCTGTGATCCCAGGGGAGATCTCTGTGCCGAATCATAAGAGCTCTGCACTGGCTTGACAACGGGCTGCGCCATTGGTGACATCGACACGTAATAGTACGGACAAATTGGCATATAGTTCGTCCCAGACCAATTGAGGAGCTCGTAGTTGTCTGGCTCTGACCGCTTCACCTCAGCCAGAGCAACATCGAAGAGATAACCAGGCCTAGTCCAGAAGTACAACTCGCCCAATGTGTTCCTCCACGATTCCATCATCAATGCATGCAAATATGGGTCGGGTGCCAAAAGTTGCGCATCAGGGGTAGGCGGCTGTAGCCATCTTAGATGGTCGCCTCGGGCATAGAATCGAATGACCCCGTGCATGAATCCGCCATCGTTAACGGGGATATCGATAATCTTTGAGAGGGCAGCGGCGGTCATCAGAACGGACTTTCGTGCCTCTTGGATCTTGCTTGGCGGATCAAGACAAACGGTGCAGTCGTATCCGTGTAATGCAGCTGTAGGGCGTAGGATAGTTCCAGGGGATGCCCAAGGAGGTATGGGTGTGTTCCTCCATTCAGGGTAGAAGTGATTGCACGCGAACCAGTGAACAACCAATTGGGTCATGTTGACTTGGTGTTGCTACCACTGGGTTGAAGCACACGAGGGGATGTGGTTGATGAGAAGTATCCCAGGGGAAGTCAAGATCGGATGGAAAAGATGAAGTAGATTGAAAATGCGTCTAGAAGAAGTTTCCATCTCTGTATAGAGTAGAAATTCCAATGCTGGTGGGAAACAAAGAAGGGCATCTTGTGTTATCGACGTAGTGAAGGCGAGGGTCTTCGACGCAGTGAAGGACAAGACAGACAATGTTTTTTTTTTTGGATATCGATGCAAATGGGCAGTTTGAGTAGTAGGCAAACATATTGCTGCTGCTGATGATGGTTAATACTCTCGAAATTCATCTGAGAGGTTGGAAGGTGGGTAAACGCAGTAGAGTGAGAGTATGTCATGTATAGCTAGAATATACTAGTATTGAATCTCATCATGTTGGCTAGTGGCTCCTAGTACTAAACTTGCAGCGTGGGCATATAGACTCTGGGTTAAGCGATAATACAATAAGTAAAAACTTTCCACACTACACAGCATAGGACAAGCTCAAATTTCTATATGTTGATGGGCTTTCAGTGTCATGACGTGGTG